AAAAACGATCAAGCCCAACGACACGCTCGATCGGCGATCGAACACGCGAGCCTCGGAAATTCAATTAGCCAAGCGAGAGAATCTTACGTCGACTTACTCATCCGAGCAAAGTCCCGGATTCGTTTGCATAGCGACGCCCGCGTTACCCGAATGAAACTCGATCGGTGAAAACTTTGACAAAGAGCTTTGGGCGAAACGATAAAATCGAGTAAGAGAGCAACGAGAAAGGTGGTCGTAAGGAAAGTAAAAGAAAAACGATTATCTCGATCATGCAGTAAAAACTGTCGTTCCGTGTCGTTACTTCTTGCACGAGGGTCACAATCAGAAGAGTCTACCTATTTTTTTTTTTTTTTTTTTTTAAGTAGTAATTAACACGATTTAAGAGATTATCACTTACGCAAAATTGTCAAGTTATCGCTTATCAGGCTATCGCGCGCACGACTGTGTACGTCTCTCTCTTTCTTTCTCTCTTTCTTGGTTAACGCGCGTAAAACACTTACGGTCCTCCCTTTTTGTTTTAACCTACGCACACGTACATATGAAAACCCGGAATAAACGACTGGTAGTCGGTGTATATTTCATCCGCGAACGAATACAGCGAGAAACTGGAAAAACACGAAGATAGGAAGACGGATTTTTCTTTTTTTGTTGCTTTTTTTTTTTAACTTCTTTAAATGTTTTTTTTTTTTACACACACACTGTTTCCGATCGCGCGCTCTCACACGGTTAAATAATTATCAGATCTGAACGGAGAATGAAACGTGACCAAAGTTATCGTCGGTGCCACGCGAAGGCGGTGGACATCGCGATAATCGAGGCCTCCTACTTCGTCCCGTGAGAACGAGCGCACGCCCACGGAATCAGAGCTTTAATCCATTTGCCCGTCGTTCGCTGGGCTCGTTTACCTTACATGCCCGGCCTAATTTCCAGCTCCGGGGTTTACACTGCTAATGAATCGCGCCTCTGCGAAGGCCCGAGGCGACTGAAAAATTTAATTACCACGCCTCGCTACCTGGCCAGGAGGTCTGTCCTTTCACGAGTTTCAAACGATGGACAGTAAAACCCGCCAGGTGGACACCTTCGGTCCCAGCGAAATTATTTCCAGGATCTTTCTATTCACCTCGAAAAGATTAGCCCTCCGCCTGTTCCTATTCGAGACGCCAGATCTCGAACGCGATACTCCATAAAAAATGTCAATTAATTCAACAGCTGAATAAAAACAAAACGCTTTCATTCGTAGATTTCCTACTGGGATGATGACGCGATACTCTCGTTATTTTATTTGTATGCAAACGCTCGGTAGATTTCTTAATAAATTATGATGAAATATGAATGGGAGAGATATTTCTCATTGTGTGGGAGAAAACGCGCGATCGGAGTCGTCCGATGATCTCAAAGGTGAATAGTTGGTCGCCGCGCGAGGGACTGACAGGCACGAGGCTCTGCACACGCGCACGAGATACGCGCCACTTCTTATCAAATCCGCGGATCAATGATCAAAACGCAGCTACCTTGTCATTACGATAGTTCTACCCTAGAATTTCTGCCGATTGATTTATCAAACCCGGTACAAGCATTGAGCTATATAAAACATCTGGAGTGTGAACGAATGCGGGGGTACGTTCGCCGACGAAGAAGAACCGTGAAGGAATCTCTTTCTCTTTTTAGGTTATAATGCATGTTTTCTGAACCTGAACTCGGACGCGTATACGTCGAGTGATTGACAATGTTATAAATTCAAGTGATTCGATAGAATACTGAACTTCTATCCCCACGATAGTTAAATTTACTACAAGATAATACAAATAGAGAGAGAGAATATAAAAAGAAGGATAGAGATCCCCCATAGCTTCTCGCTTCTTGGAGCATCGTCGCTACTCTTCTATCTTACGACTTTTGACAGACGCGAACACTACAGATATTTTATATAACTCAATGGGTACAAGATGAACTTTACGCGAGATCGATCGATAATAATCGAACGAGAATATTTGCAAATTCATGCGACCGGTTCCATAGTATTCCATTATTGCAAACGACCAAGTGAAACGATCATAGAATTAGTATAGATAGAGTAGGCAAGCCCGGTAGGTAGGCGTCCGGTGAATAAAAAGAGAAAGGAAATTGGATTTGGTGGTGCTATCTTTCTCTCACGACGAAACAAAGAAGAAATAATAATACCAAGTTCGTTTTTTCTCTCTTTCTATCGATGTGATGTTTCCACTTACACGCGCGCTTATGTTTTGCCTACTCTATCTATACTAACTCTATGGAAACGATGTCCGACGTTCCATTATCCTAACGTCGATTAACTTTCCCATGATCGTTGGTAGTTGGAAAATTCAACAGAATCGTCTCCTCGAATTTAATATGCCTCCTCGTTCGCCGTGACTTTAAACGAAAACCATCGACGATAACCGTCGCACAATTAACCCGTCGCGTCGACGACGTCAATCACTATGATCGAGTGGGTCCCCACGAAAATGAATTACGTCCCATTCCATTCGAATAGCGACACGGTTTTATTACTACGTATTTATACGAATTCTGTTACGATCTGTCGTCCCTGATAAGAACCGAGCGAAACGAACGAGGAGTGTAACGTTGGGAAAGTTAATCAGCGGTGAAAATCACGCGAAATAACGTACGCGTTCCAATTCGCGTGTCCAACCGTGTTCATAGCTAATAAATACATTCCACATAATGGGGCGTTGTTTGTAATCGCTGGCACCAAGAGCAGCCAGCGTCGACACCCCGCGGCACGGCGATTGAGCGACGCGAACAGCAACCATACTCCCCGCTCCCGCTCCTCTCCGACCTCCGGACTAATCGATTAGTTTACTCGTGTAATTAACTTCCCGTTTATACCTACTATGCACAATATTAAATACATTATACCGTTACTTTTACGTGAGCAAATAAATGGATTATTATAACGAACAGGGAGAGGGGGGGAAGGGGATCATCCCTCCCCTCGACACGTACACAAACGACATTTCCCTTTTTCCTTCGTGTGAGACGAGTCTCGCTCACTAAGTCAACTCCCCCTCCCTCCCCCCCACCCCGTCTTATTCGAAGATCGATCCTCCCGAACTTTCATCGTCGAATACGACTTCTTTTGAAAGACTGAATGGTTTAAGCGTGAGTTCGTAGAATCTCGAGGTACTTGCCCCCCCTCCCCTACCTCCCTCCCTCCCTGGTTCGAAGATCTCCCGATGCTCTCCGGCCGCAACGAGCGCAGGAAATATCGATCTGCCCTCCGCACGGGTTCGAGATTCGTAGATCCCTGCAGTCATCTTGCAAACGAGTAATTTCGTTTGATCCTAGCAGATATCTCGATGCGTTTCCTTCGACCCTTGCCTTATCCTTATACCTTTATCGTCCATCGTTCTCCACGCTGCGCTATTGATCCGCTCGCGCGAGCCAGATTCCCTCGTTGTAACGTTCGCCCAGGAAGTATCGGTTGCCTGGCGTGTATCGTCTCTTCCTTTCGGTCGCTTTTACGTTTGTGCGGCGAAGAATGGCAGTCGATGATCCCTCGTGGCTACTTACTTTCCTTCGTTTCTCTCGTACGATATTCAGCCAAGGTTCCTTCGATCGGTGTCGAGCGAAATAAATTTAACCGACGACCCTTGTGAATAAAACGATGCCACTTATCTAAAGGGTTTTAAGTTTCATCTAATACAATGTGATTGCTGATCGATTGTTCTAGGGTCCTCGTAAGGGTGTTAAATGAAATTAGAGGGGGTGAGATTTGAGCCCAGTTAGCGTTGAAGGGTCTCCGATGCGAGGACGATCGAAGAAATCTTTGATATCGAAGAATAGGCAATGTCGTATTGTTTGAACACAGTCGATGAAATCGCGGATGGAGATAATCGATTAAGTTTCGCTACTAAGGTATCTCGAGGTGGTCGTTGTTTAAGATAAACGTCGGCGAGGTGCGCTTCCTTTACGAGGGAAGGCAATCTACCAATTGGGAAATTCCTATGGTAGGAAAGAATTTCCACGTAAAACAATTCCAGTCGCGTTCCTTCTTGTCACGTCGAATCGCTCGTCACCTCATCGGCCCCACCACCCCCCATCGACGTATCGATAACGTTTGCTCGCCTCTTCGATCAGTCAGAGGCCGTTCTCTCCTCCTAAAGTTGGCAGTTGGTTTTTTTTTCCGAGCTAAATCGCGTTTCGCTATACTTGTTCCTCGTCAACACGCGCGACGAAGGTGTCTTCTGACAATTCATAGTCTCTTCATTTTCATATTAACATTCTTTCGATTAAAATTACAAAAAACATGATAGAATTCACTACGTTTATATATAAAAAATGCTAACAATTCGATTTTTAGGTATAAAACATTTTTCATCGGTGGAATAATTAATTTAAAAATTTCTGAGAACGAAGGAAAAGAATTTTCAGCCCTCAGCTCTCTCTCTCTCTCTCTTTTTTTTCGGATTCTGCTTCAGAGAGAGATGCACACTTCCTGTCATAATCATCGGCACGACGACTCTCTCTTTTTTTTTTAACAGCGATTCTCCTTCGTCGCGCGTCTCTCGCTGGCCCGTGTCTCCGCGCGTGTTCCCCGGCGACGTCGGCTCGTGTGCCCGGGGACGTGTACCTTCTCTCCGGTTTTGTGCGTGTGTGGCATGTGTGTCGGTCGTACTTGACGCGCGTCTCCACCGCGATCTTTTCTATACGACGTGTCGAGAATATACGGAATGAGTATTTACCTACGCGCGTAATAGACGCATAATTCGATACCTATGTACACCGTGTCTAACATTTCTCGATGCGTTTTCTCCTCCCCCCGGTTGAAAACGTCGTTCGTTTGCGTATATACTATATAAATGTTAACCGTGCTCGTTTTTCTGCGCAACTCGTTTTATCCGTGAGTGGTGTCGTATGGTAGATATATACGCACGTACATACGTACGTACGCGATTGTGTGTGTGTGTGTTTATGCGTGGGCGTGTGCGTGTATGTATGTATGTATGTATGTATGTATGTATGTATGTATGTATGTATGTATGTATGTATGTATGTATGTATGTATGTATGTATGTACGCGCGCGCGCGCAATAATATCGAGCGTACGCATCGTATATAGAGTGTCGTGTATTATAACGTGTACGTCTGTTTTTAAACGTCTTCTTATATAAAATCGGCAGTTCGGGCAGTTCGACGTCTCGCCGCACGACTCTAGCCTTACGTATGAAACCAGATTTACAAAAATACGTTGCGCGTGTGTTTTTCGCGTATTTGGCACTTTTTCTCCCCTCTCTTTTGCCCCCCGACTTACCTTACTACCTCCGCCACTCTCTCTCACTCTATCGTTCTATCGTTCTCTCGTTCTCTCTCTCTCTCTCTCTCTTCATCGTTCTTCCCATTCGCACCCTCCGCTCTGTCTCCTTCCCCACGCGCTTCTCCGATCACGCAAACCTCTCAGATAGACTCGCACTCGCAATCGTCTCGTCGCACGCCACCCGATGGAGCACGACGTGTCCCTTGTCCACGGTAAGAGGGAAGAGACGCTCTCCTTCGGCTCTTCGTATTCTCATTAAACGGATCTCATCACCTCTGGCAGCTGCGATCGAGAGAGGGTCCGCTCCCTGCGTGTCGACGCGAAAATCGGCAGTTTCGATGATTGGCGACGGCCACCACTGTACAACGACGGGTACGACGACGGCGGCGGCGACGGAGACGGCGTCGCCGGTACAGGTGACGCCGGCGACGCAGCAGCTGCCGCTGGGAACGCGGCGCGAAGCCGCGCGGGATCGTCGACTAGTCATCCTCCGGCCCCATGTACATCAGCATCATCTTCTTCTTCGCTATTTTACTGTACTTGATGTCGATCGGCTTCGTCGTGTCGTACAGGCTCGGCGCCTGCATGATGATCAACACCGTGCCCACCACGCAGGCGATCGTGAATAACCACAGGAAGATACGGTCCAGCACCATCGCCACGTACTTCCAGTCCTCCTCCACCTGCAACCAAAATTCAATCACCCTTAATCGTATTTAACACTAGAAACACTGAAACTTAGTATATACCTATATTGCCCAAA